AAGATAACTCATACAGTTTGTGTGTGCTATGCCAAGATTTGAAATTACATTTGATGATCAAATATAGTTACTTAATTTCCATGTTATATTGCTTCCTGTTTAACATCTGCCATTTATTTCCTCAGCCTGTGCAAATTCTGTTTTCTCTCTGCTGTGTGCTTAATGAGATGAATGACTATGTGTTTTGAGAGTTAACCCTGCCCTGTTGTGGGCAACAAATCCAGATTACTCTTCATTTTCTACATCCTGCTTCTTTCCAGATTAAGGGAGAGTAATATTTTTGTCTATTTACCTCTTGCACCTTCTCAATCGTATCTCCCTTTTTTTTTAAATGTATTTTGTATCTGTCAAACAGTTCAAGTGTCCAAGTTTTAACTTAGCTATAAGATTTAATAAAATTCTACTTTAAATTTTGCTAAGTGTCCTGGCTATTGACTTTATATTTATAGAATCCTAAAAAACCCTATTTTAAGATACAAGAGGTTTTCTAATCTTCTTTCCCACCAGTGCAGGAATCCTGATAGGTACCATTTGTATAACTGTAAAGATTCTAATGAATCTTTTCTCAGGATCTGATGAAAAGCTGAAATCTGACTGCAATCCTTGGGCCTACATTTTCCCTCAGTAGCTTTACTGAACAAACCTTGGAAGAGATTTCAACCTGTGGGCTCTTGCTTAAGAGGAGGGATCCTCGGATCATTCAACTATGATTCCCTGCTCAGAGCAGTCAAGTCATGCAGCCAATCAATGCAGCCAGAACAGGACTGAGGAAAGAGAGAGAATGGAAGAAAGAGGTAACTTCCCTAAAGAAACAAAGAGATGCCCATGCTCTGTGAAAGTGGAGATTCAGGTCTTTGGCCTCACTCCGAATAATGAGGTCCCCACAACCTCCATCTGCTTCTGACTTCCTATTCATTACTATATCTCCGTTAAACCCTCCTGCCTACTTCCATATGCCTAAGAGGATGGTCAAACAGACAATTTAATAAAATGTGTATATCTTGCTCCCAAATTCCTCCCTGTGTCCCACCAAAGTCCAACATATTCATATTCTATTTCTGTCTTTCCTACCCTTCCCGCTGCCCTATGATTTTTATTTTTAAAAAGTCATCTAAAGACTTGTATGCCAATATTCATAGCAGCACTATTTACAATAGTCAAAAGGTGGAAATAACCCAAGTGTTCATCAACAGCTGAACAGATAAACATAATGTGGTATACACGTACAATGGAATATTGTTCAACCATTAAAAAAGGAACAAAATTCTGATACATGCTACAAGATGGATGAACTCTGAGAATATTATGTCAACTGAAATAAGCAAAACACAAAAGGACAACTATTGTATGACTCCATTTATGTAAGGTATAGAAAATCGGCAAATTCATAGAGACAGAAAGCTGAATAGAGGTTACCAAGGGCTGAAGGGAGGGGAGGATGAAGAGTTACTATTGAATGGATACAGAATTTCAGTTTGGATGATGAAAAAGTTGTAGAAATGGATAGTGGTGATGGTTGTACAAAAATGTGAATATACTTAACCCCACTAGGTTGTATACTTAAAAAAAGTTAAATAAATTTAAATGTTAAATGATAAATTTTATGTTATATGTTTTACTACAATACTTACCAAAGAAATAATAAACTATTTCCTTATCAATGTTATGTCAAGAACATGTTGAAATGATTGTACTAGTATTTTGGTTATATTGGACTAAAGAAAATATATTATTTAAAGTTTTTTCTCTTTATTGATTAAGGTATTACATATGGTCCTTATCGCCCCATTGGTCCGCCCCCCGAACCCCCCACTCATGCCTTCACCTCTCTATTGTCTGTGTCCATTGGTTAGGCCTATATGCTTGCATATAAGTCCTTTGGTTGATCTCTTCCCCTTACCCCCACCTCCCCCTCCTTCCCTCCGAGGTTTGAAGGTCTGATTCATGCTTCTCTGTCTCTAGATCTGTTTTTGTTCATCAGTTTATGTTGCTCATTATATTCCACAAATGAGTGAGATCATGTGATCTTTATCTTTCTCTGAATGGCTTATTTCACTTAGCATAATGCTCTCCAGTTCTATCCATGCTGTTGCAAATGGTAAGAATTCCTTCTTTTTACCACAGGTAGTATAGTGGCCTAGAGAGGATGATATTTAATCCCTTGCATTACTGGGAGACATAGCCCTGGGATGGGATTTGGGAGCTCTGAGCTATTATTTCTTCTGGGAGCTCTGAGCTATTGTTTCTTTTCTGCCACTAGGTGAGTGGCCTTATCTAATGGATGTAATCTCTGAGCATTAAGAAGCCAAGAACAGTTCCAAAGTGCCTGTAAAGCTGAAACCCTTCAGGGACCCCTTCCCTGAGGCCACACCTGCTGTTTTCCCAAACATGGTACCAACTCAATCTCCTACTCCCTGAATCTACCACTTAAGGCTCTTTCCAAAAACCAATCCTGCTCTCAAAGATTGGGGATTGCCCACCCCAGGAGTAGTCACAGGCTCTCTAAAAGGAAGCCCAGTTCAACAGAAAGAGCAGACAGTTCTGTGACTTTGAAGTCAATTCACCCTCTGTGAGGCTTGTTATCCTCATCTGTTTATTAGGGATGACAACGGTACTTACCCACAAGAGTTTTATGAGAATTGTGTACAATCATCCATGTAAAATACTTGGGATAGTATTTAGTACAAAGTATGTAGTCAATAAGTATTCGTTATTATTACTTCCATGGAGGAGGCAAGTAATAATCCCTGCCTGACAGGATATTGGAAGCATAGAAATGTGTGTTCTGATATGACAAGCAAGTCACACAGAGTTTGTTTTTAAATCACTCATTGAGTCACATTAACCTGGGAGTGTGGAACTTAAAAACTGGCCTTTCCCCTCTTCCACCCCCCGCCCCCCGCCCCTCTGCCCCCTGGGTCTTACACACACCAGTACCAGGTCTGAGGTTGGGGGATGGGGAAAAGGAAGGGAATAGTATGGTGGATGAAAGAGGTGGGATTTAAATAGGATTGAAATGACTGATCTTATGCACTAGAGGATGAAGACCAACAGAAAGGTCATAGTTTTTAAAGCTGTTCCAGAAAAAAATCACTGTATTCTAGAAGATGGCAAACTAAAGTGGGGTATGGCCATTGTTTATTCCTTGTTCACATGAACTAGGGTTCTGAGCGAGTGTTTGCCTTCTGGTTCCCATTGGTCAGGAAGAGCTTCCAGGAGGATGCCCTCTGGGTGCTTGAGAGCTGAGTTAACTAATAGAGGTGGCCCCAGGCAGGCAGCCACTGTGCTGCGGTGAGAGAACTCTGGGACTCAGGCAACTGCTCATCAGAGTGAGTATATCTTTCCCAGTGAAAAAGTGTCTCCAGGGACTGAAGACCAAAAAACACTGTCCCGTTCCCAGCCATGTTTATGTTGGCCTGGTCAGTGAAGGGCACTAGTTTAGGTAGCCAAGTCCCCTTGAGAGTCAGAGTCTGAGTGAGATTGCCCCATATGTAGGACAGTACATCCCCCAGTAATTTCATTGAGGCTTCCATCTCAGTAGTACATCATTTATCCCAAACTGGATTAACAAAAAATAAGGGCAGAACATAATCTTTTTTTGTTTCTAGTAAGAGAGCTCTCCCCAGCCTTTTTTATAATTGAAGGCAAGATTTACTCTCAGTATATGTTTATGACCAGAGATTACCAGCATCACATTTTTGAGTTTCTTTCCCACAGTGATCACCACCAATTCTTTAGCTGGTGCCAAAAGTCATGCTTAGTAGTCATTTCTTTGATGTCATTCAATGTTAAATATTCAAAAATCATTTCAGTGTTCCAGGCCCTGTAAAAGGTGAAGAGAATCCAAAAATAAAGACTAGACGGTATTGTAGTGAGTGTTGTGGACGAAAGGGACCACATGCTAACCTGGCAAGCTCAGGGAAGGCCTGCATGGCAGTCTTGCAAACTCAGAGACCTAAAGTAACTGATAGATCCTCCCTTCCCCCAACTGGTGGGTGGAGTATGACATAACCTGCAGCCCGGAAATACCTGAATGACTAACCATGTACCTTATATGGACTATACATTGGACCACCAATCCACACCTGCCAAATACCCTAAACCCTTGTTCCTATATGGACCATAAATTAAGCCACCAATCAGCGTGCACCAAGAACAATAAG